AACAGAAAGGAGCCCACTGCCTAAACACTTACCTTGTGCCAGACATTGCACTGGGACTTTATTACCTGCAACCCATCCTGCAAAACTGTGAAGATTTGATATAATCATTCTCATTTTATGCTTGAGAAACAAGGGGTAAGGACATTAAAAATTTACTCAACGTTTAACATTTGCCTGTCTTATTCTAAAGCCCCTTCTCTTTTCACAATACCTGTAAGAAATGGAGATCCAATATTGAGTGGCAGAGGCAAAAATAAGGCCTACCAGAACCATTATGATAGCTTTACAATATGCCCACCAATTATTTGATGCTCCTCCTGCCAAATGGTGAAGGCTAATTACCCTCCCACAGAATGTGACTCACTTCTAATGAATAAAATATGGTAAAAGTAAAAGTGTGCAATTTGACAGACTAGGTAATAAAGAACAGTGGCTTCTTCCCTGCTCTCTCTTTCTTAGATCATTCTCTCTGGGGGAGTCCAGCTGACATGTTGTGAGGACACTCAAGCAGCTTTATGGAAAGGCCCACATGGTGAGCAACCGAGGCCTCCTACCAATAGCCAACAAGAAACTGGGGCCTTTGCCAACAGCCAGGTAAGTGAGCCATTTTGGAAAGTGGATCCTCCAGTCCCTGTTAGGCTTCCAAATGACAACATCCCCTGCTCTCATCTTGACCACAACCTCATGAAATACCTTTATCCAGAATACCCAGTGAAGCCACTCCATAATGGCTGTTGTACAAAACTGTGAGCTAATGTGTTGTTTTTAAGCTATTAAGTTTTGAGGTGATCTATTACACAATGATAAACAACGAATACACCCATCCAGTGCTGAAGAAAGCGGTTGTCAGGAGGGTGGAATTTGCACTATTAAATCTTCATAGAGTGCTATTTCCCCTCACCACACCACACTTGCCACTAACTATAAAGAATTAGGTCAGGGAGCTTCTTTGGTTGCACCCCTTTTGCCTTTGGTTGTCAATGGTAGAACCATTTCCCCACAATCTGCAGAAATTAAGAATCAAAGAGAAGGACACACCATTCCATAGCACAGAACACAAGTAGATGACTCCCATGAAGAGTCTAACAGCATGGTATGTAATATCCCTAGATATTAATATCCATCCAGGAATCATGGTGCCTACACTGGAATTTCAGATTGGCCACTGACACAGTGGACACATTATTCAACATTTCCAAATCTTGGTGTTCTTATCTACAAAGTGAAGATAATAATTGCCAATGCACAGGTGACTATGAGTTAAAGAGATTACTTTTGAAGAGTTCCTAACACATTCGTTCAACAAACATTTAATGATGCTTCAGGCACTGTGTTCATTACTAGTGAGAATATGACACACAGAGCCATACAGTCAAAGAGTTTTCAATGAAAAGTAACATAATTGAGTGATAATTTTTAAAGTGTGGTAAAATGTGTGGCACATAGTAGGTATTCAATAAATACTTGGTTTTTTTCCTCCTTTTTACCTTCTCCTAGAGTTCTACTTGATGGTAGCTGTAGTTTTTCTTCAAGACATCCTATTTGTCCTGGTAGAGAACCTCTTTTGACCACTAAAGGCACAGTCGCAGTCCCTCACCATTCCCTTGCATATTCCACAAAAATGTGAGCATTAATCATTCTCCATGACACAGATAATTCATTGTTTAATTTAATTTTTTAAAATTTTATTTATTTACTTATTTATTTTGAGACCAAGTTATAAGACTGGCTAATTTTTGTATTTTTGGTAGAGATGGGGTTTTGCCATATTGCCTAGGCTGGTCTCAAACTCCTGAGCTCAAGTGATCCTCCTGTCTGGGCCTCCCAAAGTACTGGGATTACAGACATGAGCCACTGCACCTGGCCTGGATAATTTTTTTTTCTTTTTTTGAGGTGGTGTCTTGCTTTGTAGCTCAGGCTGGAGTACAGTGGCGTGATCTCGACTCACTGCAACCTCTGCCTCCCAGGTTCAAGTAATTCTCCTGCCTCAGCCTCCTGAGTAGCTGGGATTACAGGTGCCTACCACCACACCTGGCTAATTTTTGTATCTTTAGTAGAGATGGGGTTTCACCATGTTGGTCAGGCTGGTCTTGAACCATTGACCTCAGGTGATCTGCCTGCCTTGACCTCCAAAAGTGTTGGAATTATAGGCATGAACCACCACGCCTGGCCCTGGATAATTCATTTTTAAAAGAACATCATACCTACCTTAAATGCATCAAGATTTCACATTAGACTCATTATTCATAGTGAACATTAGGAACTTAAGTCCGCTCAGTAATAATGCACCTATCCATGACTCTTGATTCAAAGATGTGCACCTATTTACCCTGAGACAGCTCCTTGGAAGGACATGAAATAGAGAGTAATAATCACATCTTTCCAAATTTTCTATGAAACTGCATCGCCAAAAACTGAGACTCATTTTCCGATTGATGTATTGAATGACAACAAAATCTCCAGGGCATTCAGAAACCCAACAGGGATTAATGATTAGGCATACCAGTGGTAGTCAGGAGACTTGCCCAAATTTCTAGTTTTCTGCAGATGGCATCTAAGTTAGAAGACTGTCATAAATTTATTCATGACTTGGCTTACTGCTATTTGCTCATTGGTGACACTTTTATATAAAATGGTGTTTCTACAGCTAGGAAATCCCAGTGGAGATCAAGAAACCAGGGTTCTACAGACTAATAGGGTGGCCTTTGATTAGTCCTAACTCCCCTTCCTACGCCTCAGTTTCTTTAGACATGAAGTGAAAGCAATGGATTACATCGCCTTGGACTTTTTCCTAGATCAAAAATAATGTAATAATTGTGCCTTTCCAACAATAATTGATACCACTAATGAACTTTCTTAAGCACGTCTATTAAGGACTTTACATTATTTTTCTAATCTTTAAGCAAACTCTGAGATAAGTGACATTATGATGTTTATTTCATAGGTGCAAAAGATTTGTCAAGTAACTCCCCAAAGTGAAAGGGAGGGCTGGAGTTTAGACTCGAGACTGTTCTGTTCTAACCCAAGTAATTCTGGATCCCAGACTCCCCAAATGACAAGTTATTCCAGAAATACTCAGAAAAAGGAGGGTGCCGTATGTCGCACATGGAAAAATAGAAAAAGTAACAGAATCCAGCCAAAGGATTCCCAGAAATTGAGGCTCTTCTGTTCTTGGCATTTGCATCTTTGGATGTGTGTTTTTTACATTGCTCTATGCAAAAGGTATGTTTCTATGTGATTTTTTTTTTTCTCCTCCCGTCTTACTACTGAGGAATCACAGGGAATAGACTTGACATCTGTGAACTCAATTTACCCTAGAAAAATGTTTCAGTCACACTTAAAATGAAAAGGGCATCAATTAGAATAAGAAGGACACTTTATTGCCTAGGAGGACTGAACTTTTTGGACCTGGGGCACCTTATCAGCTTCATTTTTAGCTCTAGTATATCAAAATGTCAGGATCTCCACTGGACCTTAGAATTTTTTTATTTTTCTATAAGAATTTCTGAATGTCTGCCATGTGTCAAGGGAAATGCCTGGACTTCTATGCATATGTATTTTATTGTCTCCCCACATCTACCCAGGAAGACAGGCACAGTGAGCCTTCCATGTTATAGACGAGGAATCTACGTCTCAAAGAAAGAGAAGGAATTTCTCAAGGTCACACTCTAAGTAAAAGGCAGAGGAGGGATTCGAACCCTGGATCCTCTTTATTACACCAAGCCTGCCTCACAAGGATGCCAATCTCTCATCACTTACTGGGAAAGACCCACTCCTCCCATTCATGATAAGATAATGCTATCCTGTAACCCCAAAGCAGGCATAAAATATGAAGTAGCAAAATTCAGGCAGGCAGAAGCAGAGTGGTTTAGACATGGCTCTTGTCTGCAGCAGAGAGAAGTTCCTGGCAACATGACCCTGAAAATAACAATGAGTGACTGAAGCTAAGAAGGAAGAATCCTCCAAAGACTCTGAAACTAGATATTTTCTCAAGCCCCACCTATGGACAAACACAAATCACAGAGAAATAAAGATGCCAGTCTCCAGGAAGCACTAGTGTTAAATTCATTCTGGAATTTAACTCCTGGCATTAACAGTTAGCTGGGAGATTAAAACAAACCAACACACAAACAAAAAATAATCAGTAGAAAAAAGTTTAAAAAAAAATCAATGGACAGTGGTTTCATAGCAGATGGCAAGAGGAATATTAAAAGCTGTATTTTATTCAGAACTCATTGTCTTCTGGTTTCCTTATTAGGTGTTTTGTATATTGAGGCCCATAGCTCCAAGCAGCCTCCATAAAGTAGAAGCTAAGAACTGCAATTTGTGGGTTAAAAAACTGTGCTTGAAATTCCTTGTTTGTCCCTTGTTTGTCATTTCTCTACCCTTCTGTACCTGGCCCACACCCTAGGAAGATGACTTGTATAAACTACATAAATGAGCTCCTTGCCTTCTGGTTTCTAGTTGGGTTTAGTCAATGAGATCTATTGGCAGGAAGACTGGAAGGTAGAAGAATGACATCTGACTTTTTATTACTTTAAATTCCTTCCTGTCAGAGCTTAAATTGACTGCAACCTTCCTTTGAAAGTTGCAGCTCCCTTCAGAAAGCTCTTTCTTGCAGCTCTAGCATCTCCCAGGCTTCAGTAAATGCTTCCTCCCTGTGCCCCGAGTCCTAGGCTTAGAGTGAAAATGGGTCTCTGCTGCCACTAACCTTGGGATGCTTCACCCTCCCTTGTGAGTTTCCCTTAGTTCTGCCCATATCTTTGTAAACAGTCTCTTCATGGAACTTTCCTCAATTGCTTCTTTTAAATGTATGAGCTGGTTATGTTGGGAGGGGACCCACGGTGGGAGGAACAATGACTAAGACACGGAAAGGTTAAGTAGCTTGTGCAAGGTCATACAAATAGTGCATTAGTTAAAGCAATGCTTGTTTCTATAACAAATAAACCCCCATATCTCAGTGATTTTAAGTAAAGACACATTAATTTTTTTTTACTTACCTCAGTCCAAAGTAGGGTTTGTGAGCAGCAAGTGGCTCTTCTTCAAGTGGTGATCCAGAGAAGAAGACTCCTTGCATTTTCTGGCTGTGCCATATTCAACACACCTTTCAAGGTGGCCATGTTCATCAGCACAAAGCTGGAAGAGGGAAAGAGTATGTAGGCTTGAACATGGCAGGTTTTGTGTCACACCCTCCACTCATGTTTCATTGGCCAAGCTCAACTGCATGACTGTCCAATTGAAGGAGAGTCCCAGAGATGATGAGCTCAGGAGGATTAAAAAGAGAGTTTGGGAAAGCTCTTGACGATTTCTACCTTAGAAGTGTGTTTGAAAACACAAACTCAAATCCAAAGCTTTTCACCCAAAACACAAGGCCTCCAGTTCATGGCCTATACAGTTATTTACTGTGTGCATTAAGTAACAAGAATCATCCATGTGTGTTCCAGAGGGGAAGAAGCAGAACCAGAGAAAATTTTATAGTGTGATAGTGTCAGCCCATGATTCTACCAAGGGAGTATCTATTCTGAAAATGTGTAAGATGGGAAACAGGGACTGCTGCTGCCTCCACCTATCACAGTAACCACTTACTTTACTTACATTACCAATAAAGTAATATATAAGTAACTGCACACAAGTCTAGCATTTAAGGACATTGATTTTTATATTACTTGTTATTTATTTAAAAAACCACATATATTTAATAGTAAATCACTGTAAAAGGATTATATGGACAAAAATACGCATTCTGTGATGATTTACAGTCCCAGTTAGAAATTCCAAGGGTAATTTTGATCATATGCCCTGTTTCCTTTATCCACTAAATTTAGAACCTGCATCTCCACTGGATTCAAACTGTAGTTCTCTCTCTTTCCACTCACACCTCTGTGGATTTCTCTCTACTGCCTGTGAGTTTTATAGTGTTAGTACATATTCTCCGAGAAAACAGACACAGTGGGACTTTTTGCATTGCTATGTAAATCTGCAGATTCACTACTCAATAAGTATTGACCCGTTGACTTTGCCTTTTTTCCACCTCATAAGCATTTCCAATGATCCAGAAATGAGGAGAAAGAACAAGTCCCATGAAGGTAAATTTTCCCTAACTGAGTAACCTGGGGAACTCACATAAAAATGGGCTGCACAAATGTTATTTCAAGATTTAAAAACAATATATTTGAATCCTACATCAATAAGTAAAAAATCATAAGCTCTCAGCCTGCTGATTGACTCTACAGCGCTCTTTCTCATCATTATAATATCCAAATATAAGAATGTGAAGGAAAGAGAATTTCAAGCACTGTAAGATTATCATAGATATTACCCCCATTGATCTAGTCATTCACTGAGTGTGAGACCATGTGGCCATAACAGTGAAGAAACTTCTGTTTCTGCCATCAAGGATCTTACCTGGGGTAGACAGATAGTGCACACATCATCAAATTTTTTATAAGAAGGTAATTACTGCTGGCAATAAGTGGGATAAAGCAAATCAAATTCAGGTGCTATTTTCGAAAGTGCTCTGAGATGAGCAAATGGCGTGCTATTTTAGAGAGTGGTCAGAAAAGGTTTTCCTTGGCCTCAGAGCCCTGATTGATGAGTGATCCAGGTAGAGAGTGGAGGAACAGTATTCCAGCCTATGCAAAGGCCTTGAGATCAGGATGGTTTCAGGAAATTCGAGAATGCCATGAGTCTGTGTGGCTGCAATGGCAACAATGAACATGAGGTAAAAGGTGGCCAGAGGGGTTTTCATGGGCATGTGGAGTTTGTAGGCCAGGATATCAAGAGTTTGAACTGTGTTCAAAGGGTAACATAAAGCTATGGAGGTAGATGTGTGAACAGAAGAGAACCATCATCTGTTTTGTTTTGTTATAAGGATCACCCTATTTGCTACATGCAGAATAGGCTCTGTGTGTGTGTGGTGGTGGGAAGGAGGGTAATTGACAAGAGTAGAAGCAGAGAGATAAATTGAGAGATCAGAAATGACTTGGATCACAAGGCTAGACTCGGAGGTGGTGAAAGTGGTCAGATTAAGGATGCACTTGAAAGTGGAGTTGTCAGGACCTGTTGATGGCTATGGCATGGCTGTGAAGGAAACTGAAGAATCAGGATGCCTCCCAGGTTTTCAGCCTTGGCACTAGTGAGAGGATTGGCAACAGCTGAAATGGAAGCAACTGGGAGAGCTGTTCTGCCATAGTGGTGGAAAACACGCCACTGGCTCAGCTGGATACTTCCAAAGGGCTGCTCTGGTAATACCTCTAGTCAACAGATATTCGATGAGTACCTCTGCCCTACCTTCAAGGAGTCCCAGGCTGCAAAGAAAAACTGATGTACAAACAGGTGATCGTGCTGAGAGGGAAAGCCCACAAGTCTTTCTGGGAATAAAGGAAAGGATAATGAAGCCAAATGTGGACTCAGGAAGGCTTTTTGGAGGAGATGACGCCTAGCTAAGACTTGAAAGATGAATAAAAGCCAAAGAGGTTGGGAGAAGCAGTCAGGCAGTGGAAACAGCACTAGCAAAAGCACAGAGAACTGGAGCAGCATGACAACAAACCACACGCCTCTCACCAGGGAAGTGGAGGGTGGAAGGGAGCACAGGGATGCAGTTAGAGACATTTGCAAGTTCCAATCATAAATGGTTTCCATACTGTTCCTCAGAAATAAGCATCTATCCTATAAGTCTAAAGAGGAAACCACTGAAGAGTTTAAGAAAGGATTGCCAATGTCAGGAATTAGGATGATAAGCTCAGTTTCTAGGAAGTCCAGATGGTAACAAATAAGAACATGTCTTTGGCATTCATTGCTTCTACCCCACATTTTGCCCTTGATCTCGGTTTTCTTGGGTGAGTTCTTCTATTGTATGTCCATAGTCTCCTGGTATAGAAGGTATAAAAGCTTACTCTTTGTTTAATTTTCTGCATTCTTCCAGTAAAGGTCTAGCATGGAGGAAAAAATCTACAGAGTTCCCTGCTATATTGCCTGGCTAGGATTTAAGCAAGATATTCATGAACCATCTTGAAATATCAGAAATAAAGATTCACTCCCAAACCCACCACCACTATCTGCATACCTGCTGCCATTTAATATCAACTGATTTTTAAACTTACAGTCAATGTCAATGACTAAGAGAGAAATCTCAATAGCTATTTAACTATGAAAAGGTAGACATCAAGTCAAGCACAAACTTCAAAACTCTCCAAAATACTAATAGTTAACATTGGCTGAGTGTTTACTTACATACCAGGCACTCATCTAAACACATTTCATGCATTAATTAAATGTTTCCAAAATAGCTCTAGGAGATATTTAATTTGACAAATGAAAAAACTGAGGCTTAATTTCTTCATCCAGGGGTCACACAGCCAGAAAGTAGAAAAGCCAAGATTGAACTTCAGGGATCTCGGCCCTAAAGCCTTTTCTGGGAAAACAGTCCAAAGCTTTACTCAATAATTCTTAAATCCTTTTATTTAAGAAGTATTCTTAAATAAAACCTTCTCTTCCAGACTATTCTCCAAGTCCCACTAACCAAGTTCAATTCCTACCTCTCCCATAATCTTTCCTGCTTAATAGGAGTCATTCCAATCTGATCTCAGATGGCATATGCATTCTATACCAGAAATGTGGTTAATTCCACTGCATTTATTCCCATAAAAACATAAAGAAATGTGGTTAATTCCACTGCATTTATTCCCTTGTCAACAAAATGAAGACAAGTTTTTTTTTAAGTATTAATACTTAAAAAGAGTTAAAGGACTCTTTCTTTCTTTTCCACCCTACACATAGATATAAGTACTCCACCAAATGCAACTAACTACCAAGTACCCAGCACACTTAAACTATATATACCACATACACACATATAAGCACACATGTGAGTTTGGCCTAAACACGTAATAAAAGAACAAAATTACAGCAACATCTGAACCAAAGAAAATGAGAAAAAAACACATGCCATACAACATTAATTGCAGCAAAGTCCGTAGGTTGCAGAGTACATGGGCACAAACAAGATTCAACTTTGTGCAAGCAGTTGAATCTTGGCCTTTTGTTTGCTATTTGTGGGACACTGAGCAAGTTAATCATGCCTCAGTGTCCTCATTTGCCAAATTTGCCATTTTTTTCTTGGGGGTTTATCCTGTAAGGCGCTTGAGAAAGAGTCACACTCAAGAAGATTCATTATGCTCTCACATTTTCATTTTGTGTCTTATAATGCATTGATTCATCTTTTGCTCAATTTGGCTTCTAATATTCTGCATGGCTTAGAGAATAAAGTATGTGGACCTCTCCAGAGCAGATGACCATCTGCCTCTAAGCTTGAGGCTCTTAATTCCAGCTCCACTGCCCATTGGTTGTAGTCACAGAACAGGGTAAATTTAACTCAAAACTCTCAATCCACCCTGGAGAAGTAAATTAAAGCCCAGAAGAATAATATGCCTTGACCAAGGTCACAGAGTGTGTTAACAGTAAAGCCAGAACTAGAACTCAAAGCTTCCTATACTCAGCCCAATCACTATTAGTAAATATTTCCTGAATGCATATTAATGTTTCAAGGCCTGTGGATACAGAAATGAATAAAGCACAGTCCCCAAACAAAAATATTGCCAATTGTATTGAAACCAACAGATGACCAATTGCAGTGCTTCCTAACCTTGTTTGTGTCTGTGTCTGTGTCTGTGTCTGAGACACATGATGCTTTCCTAACATGGGCCCTTGGAGAGTTGATTCCCAGCCACTCAATATTTACAAACTGGAAATTCACTAACCTGTAACCTGTCCCAGTTCCCAGTAGAAATTTGCACATTCAGAACTACTTTGAATAATCCTCACGTGGAAGATGAGGATGCTTCTGAAGAGGAAAATGCCAAAAGTAAGATAAATCAGACCAATGACTTAAAGTTGCTGGAAAGACACGTACATTTAGCAATATGTCTGGAAGTGGGGGCTCCAAAGCTGATAGAATAGCTTGTGACACCAAAGCATTAGATTGATGTCTCTTACCTTCTCTCAGTGTTTCCCTCATGTGCTCAGTTTGGTGTCCCTATCTTTAGGTATCACGATTTCACATAACTTGCATTTAAAGGCAAGAAACACAAGGCAATCAAGATGGGGTGAGTGGTATAGCAGGAGGAGAGAGAGAAGAACAGAGACAGAGAGAAAGAGAGAGAGAGATAGAGAGAGAAAGCGCACACTTGCCATGTATCTCTCCTTTTAGGAAGAAAGATAAATCTATCCTAGATAACCAGGAGTCCCCTTAAATCTCACTGGGCAGAGCTGGCTCACATAGCTGCCCTGCTGCAAAGGAGGCAGGCAAGCATGCATCTGGCTCATTCAACCTACATAATTAGAGGCAGGTAAGGGAAAAACCAACTTTAGCATGACTATTGGTAGGCAAACAAAAATGTCTGCTGTACCCAAACTGTGTAGGTTTGTTGAAGGAATGCTTGATCCTCCCTGGGAATCACAAACAGCTCTCCTTGCAGAGCCAGTATTTAGGAGTTTGCAAATCTCTAGTCCTTGGGCCTAAGAAAACTTTCTGAGCCAAGCTGGAAGGGAGAAGAAACAGGTCAAGCAGATTTCAAGGACACGTACCATTCTGGAAGGGAGAAAGAAAGAGGCTAAGCAGATATCAAGGACACCTGCCATTCTTCTACAAATCACATTTTGCCAGATTTTACCTTCTGTGCCTGGGTCTTCAGTGGCCTGTGATAATGGAATACTACCATTCACTAAGCCATGGAATTCTGCCATTTACTACAGCTCAGAATTTTATCAACTGTTGATACTGGAATTCTAACCCAAGCAGATCTTCCATTCAGTCATCATCTAGGGTTCAGAATCTTGCCATTCCCAGAACCTCAATCCCCACCCCATTTATTTCCGAGAACTTGAGGGTAGCAAGAAGATGTCAAATCCCAACCTAATGAGTCAGTGTAATTGATTCCTAGTGAATAGTCTGTTGC